TTTGATGTCAACCATATCAACTATTTGTGATTCTCAAACAAGGAAAAACCTCACAGTGAGAAGCCTCGCAAAGGAAGGTAAAATAGCCTGATATAGCAAAAAACAAAGCTTATAATGAACAGTAACAAAAGTCTATAAATTAGTTTAATACAGCTTTAAAAAATACCTACAATGAAAATAACCAATTTGGAAGGGGTCTCACATATTATATACTGATAATCTAAATTCCTCATAAAATGTGAGGAAGGTAAAATAAAATGTATCATCATGCTGTGAGGCCGTCTGCAGCCTCTGCAGTGCAAGTTTGATCCCAGCCAGTCAGGGAGATATCCACATGGCGCGGTGGACCTCTCCTGTCTCGCCACTGCTCCCCTCAGCGGTGTGTTTTGATCGGTATGCCTGTTCTGTTCCCCGCTCTATCTGGTGAATCCTCTCACCCTCCCGCACATCTGGCCTGTACCCCAGTTCTTGAATGCATGAATAAATCTTAAGACAAAAATAAAATGTATCATCATGTTTGATACAAAATATTAAGTGTCAGTGACAAGACCAACACACTGGTCTTATGGCTTCAGGTCAGTACTCTGTCTACTAAATTACTATACATTAAGTACTATGAAAGTGAGGGCCTAAAACTTTTTCTCAAATCTATTTCTCTTAGAGAAATGGGTAAATTTTTTTAGACCCTTTAGGTAAAAAATATTTCTTAAAAGAGATACAGGCACATCAATTTTCAAAGAAAAGATGGATAAATATAATTACATTCAAATTAAGAACAGTTATTCATCAAAAGATACCTGAAAGACTTTAAAAACTGGAAAGACTTTAAAAATTGGGAAACAAAACCAAAAAGGACTATTGTAAAGAATATATAGAGAATAAAGAGGTTGGGATCACTTTATTCCTAAAAACAACTTAAAAAATAAAATTGCTCAATAGAAGACTCAGAAGATCCCCAATAGAGACACAGGACTTTCCCAGAAAGAGCTCAAAGTAAGGTGGCTGCTAAGAGAAAGCAGTGGGAGGAAGCAAAGGGGAGCATAACTGGAGAGTTGATACCCCAACCATCAGAATGGGCTGAGGATCAGTAATCCATGGCATGAGGGGCATCCAGGGCGCTGTGAATTTCCCTGGGAGACCTTTTCAGAAAGGGAATGTAGTCATGCATGGGCATGGGTCTAACCTGGGCCACTGGGAACTCTGAGACAGAGATGGGCAAGGAAAGCTTTCCCTGCCAGGTACTTCTCAGAAGTAAGAGATCAAAGTGTCACAGTGCTAGGCTCCACTGTAGGCCAAATAGCAGAGAGAGGGACTGGAGAGTGATCTCACTTACCCCTTGGAAAGTATCAAGGGGACATGCAGAGCTTGCAGCCCCAGGTGAAGCAGACCTGCAAGGCTTACAATCAAGTCCTTCACAAACAGCATGGCAGAAGTGGAGGTGGAAGCAGCCATAGCTTGTGTCCCACATACAGATAGCAGAGCACACACCCCACTTGAGCACCTCTTGTCTTCCAGGCTCAACTAAGTTCCAGAGCATGAGTCCCATCAACCAGAGCTAGCTCTTCTATCAAGAAGCTCAAGCTTCACAGATCATTATCCACAGCAGAAAAGAGCAGCAGGGAGGAGGGGTGAGAAGATAAAACCAAAACACTGAATAGAGTCTCCTGTGAAGAGTAAGGGGAGGAGGCAGAAGTGACTAACTTTAGTTCTCAAACTGAGATCAAGTATTTAAGACCCGTACTCCCCTCCAACATTTCCACTAAGATCAGGAACAAGACATGGATGTTCACTGTCACCACTGTTGTTCAACATAGAACTGGAAGTTCTAGTCAAAGCAATTAGGCAAGAAAAAGATATAAAGGAATCCAACTGGAAATACACAAACATAAGTTGCATTTCTGTATGCAAACAATGTATCAGAAGAAAGGAAAATAATCCCCTTTATAATCACACTAAAGAGAATTAAATACCTGGGAGTAATTTCAATGAAGAAGGAAAAAGACCTATATATTGAAAACTATAAAACTCTATTAAAGGAAATAAAAGAAAAAATGGAAATATACCCAATGCTTGTGGAAAGAACATACTTAAAATGTCCATATTACATAAAGCAGTTTATAGATTCAGTGCAATATCTATCAATGACTTTTTTCCAAGGAAATTAAACAGTTATAAAATTTATCTGGTACCACAATAGGCCCAAAAAAGATAAAACAATCTTGAAAGAAAAGAAGAAAACTGCAGGTGTCCCATGTCCTTATTTCAAAACTATATCTCACATCAACAGTAATCAAAACAGTATGGTATTGGAACAAAGCAGAAACTCAGACCAATGGAATAGAATAGAAAGCCCAGAGATAAATCCACACAACTACAGACAGCCAATCTTTGACAAAGGAGCCATGACCATCCAATGGAGAAAAGAAAGCTTCTTTAACAAATGGTATTGGGAAACATGAATAGCCACATGCAAAAAATTAAAACTAGATCCACATTTAACTCCATACACAAAATTTAATTCAAAATATATTAAAGATCTGAATATAAGAACCAAAACCATCAAATACTCAAAAGAAAACATAGGGAACACACTACTTGAAGTCTATAGAAAATATGTATTTGGGAACTCAACTCCAATGGCAAGGAAAATCAAAGCAAAAATAAATAAGAGGGACTATATCAAACTAAAAAGTTTTTTTTAACCTCAAAAAGTAACCATCACAAAAACACAAAAAGACAATCTACAGAAGGAAAAAAATATATATTTGCACATCATACATCTGACAAGGGGCTAATTTCTAAAATATATAAAATATTTATATAATACACCAACAAAAAACCTCATTACCCTATCAAAAAAAAATTCAAAAGACCTAAATTGACATTTTTCTAAATTTAGGTGGACCATAAATATCTGAAAAATTGTTGAAAATAACTTCTTATAAAGGAAATGCAAGTCAAAACCATAATGAGATTATCACCTCACCCTTGAGAGAATGACCTAAATTAAATGTTGGCAAGGATGTGGTAAGAAAGGAATTCTCATTCACTGTTGTTGGGAATGCAAGTTTGTGCAGCCTTTATGGAAAATGGTATGGAGATTTCCTATGAACATTCCATATGATCCAGTGATACCTCCAATAGGCACTTATCCTAAAAATATGAAAACTCTAATACAAAAAGACTTATGTACACTTATGTTCATAGCAGCACTGTCTTCAATTGTCAAATCATGAAACTAATCTAAGTGCCCATCAACAGACACATGGATAAAGAAATTGCAGAATATATACTCAATGAAATACTATACAGCTATTTATTTATTTATTTATTTATTTTTAAAAAGATTTATTTTTATTTATTTATACAAGCACTGGGCACAGTCAGAAGTGCGGGAGGTTGAGAGAATTCACCAGAGCCAGAGCAGGGAGCACAACAGGCAGAAGGACCAAAGTACACTGCTGAGGGGAGTAGCGTGCAGCAGGAGAGGTCTGCGCGCCATGTGGGACCCTCCTCCGGTGGCTGGGGAGCAGCCGGGGATCGAACCAACGCTGCAGAGTCTGCGGGCAGCTTCGCAACCCAGTGCTCAACCACTGCGCCGCCAGGGAGGCCCTATACAGCTATTTAAAAAAATGAAAATGGATAGATCTCGAGGTGATTTATATTAAGTGAAATAAGTAAGAAAGTAAAAGATATTGGATGGATTCACTCATCTGTAGAATATAAATAACAAAAAAACAAACATACACAGGTAAAATACAACAGGAATAAGTCTTGGACTTAGTGAATTTAATGGTTACCAGAATAAACAGAGGGGAGGGAAGAGGACATGGGGACAGAGGCAGATGAGGTATTGGCGCAAGTGGTTTGGTGGAGGATGAGTGGAATGTATGTACATATGGAGCAGTAAAAAAGTAACCCCAAAATTAAATTTCTAAAAAAATCAAACACAAAAGGAATATATAAAGAACTCCTACACGTCAATGAGAAAAGAACAAATAAACCAACAGTCAAGGATATGAACAGACCTATTTCCAGGAGAGGAAATGATAAACATATACAGAAATGTTCAATAATATCAGTCGTCACAGAAATGCAACTAAAGGCCATATTGAGATAACCCATTCACTGGCAAAAATTTGAAAGTCTCACAATATTAAATGTCAGACAGTAAGTCCTAAAGATCTTGTTTACACTGCAGATGGAAAGTAAAGTGAGACAACAACTTTAGAAAATAAGTTAAAATTATCCCCTACAGTTGAACATTAACAATATTCCAATATGAGGAGAGTGGATATGAAAACTACAGTATAATCACACAACGGAATATTATTATACTGTCCAAAATACATAACAGTAAGTTTAGTAACAGTGTTAAGCAAGTATGTGAGCTTTCAAATATTACATGTCTTTTAATAAAATTTTCAAAATCTAAAATAAAACAATTTCCAGTGAACATGGATTCAGGATGGCAGTTACCGCAGGTCAGTGGAAACAGCAAAAGGAGGGGAGTCATAAAATCAGATAAAAGTTATTGAAAATAATCTAGTTTTGTTTGGAGTGATTGGTTCAGAAAGTGTATCATGAAACAAAACTATGCCTAATCCAAATCTCTGTATCTATGATTAATTTTTTTTCAAATTGTGAGTCCATAGTTACATGTCAATCATGTTTTTCACCAACTTTATACAGCAAGTACTATTTGTAGCACTTACTATGGTGCATCTTATAATACCTGCTGTTTCAAGTATAGCAGTCCTACCTCCTTACCAAGAAAGTATTTCCTTAAGCATAATATTTCATATTACTTTCTCTGATAATATACTAACAAGAGTTAAAATTACTCACACTTAATATTTTCCCCAATTAGCCAAGAGTAAAAAAATATGCTCCCCATATTCTATATCCTTTAAAAATATATTATTACCGCTAGTAATTCCTAGTGATCTATTTAGGAAAGGAACTAACCTGTTAGACAAAGACTAAAATCACCTGCCCACCTGTTGTGGCTGAGGGAAGCAGTGATGGGCGTGGGCACCACAGTCTGTAATCCTTCTCCTTCTATCTCAGTACCGACAAGACAGATGAGCTGCAGATCTGGTAATCCCACACAGTTTACTTCATGCCAACTCTTACCTGAAAAAAGCACCATTGAATGGACAATAATGTTTATCAAAAAATAAAAGATTAAAAACATCAAACTACTAGATACTCAAGTGAGTAAACATCACTCATAACACTATCTTCTCTTTGATAGTTTTTTTTATTCTGTAATTTCCAATGCAAACAAAAAAATACAAAACTGACTGAATTAACAGAAATGCAAAAATATTATTACTATGTCAACAATCTATATCCCAACCCAATTCCTCCCTCCCTCACCACAGTCCCAATAACAAAACAATATAAATAGGTAACTTACTCTCCATGAGGTCCAGGTAAACCAAGAATGCTATATAAACTTGGGTGGCATCTCCTATATCTAATTCCATCATTTCTAAATACTGAAAATCAAAATGCAATTGTCAAATGGAGAAGAAAGAATCTCAATATTTTCGTTCACACAATTAACAACTACTTATTAAATACACAGAACACATATAACCCTCTTTTAGGTAAAGTGGGAGTTATAAGGCAGTCTAAGGTCTGACTCCTGTCTCTAAAACCTTGCAACTGTTAGGCAAATAACAGTATACGATGGAAAGTGACAAAACCAAGTGAATGAAATAAAAACAAGACAAAACAGGTCACAACAGGTTAGGGGAGCTATGTTCAGATAGCTTGGGTGATGAATGTTTCACGGCAGAGGTGGCACACAAGTTAGGCCCGGAAAGGCAGGTGTCATTTAAGCAAACAGATAAGGTAAAACAACAGTGTAAATAATCACACAAAGAGGGGAATATGCCACACATAATTAAAGGCCTACAAAAAATTTATCTGCCAGGAGTAGAGACATTTTTAAATAGGATTTTTTGTTGGGACTTGTTAGTGGACGTCTCTGGTTTCCCAAGCTCTTAGCTGCATGTGGACAAAGTCTACTAGAATACCATTCTGGTTCTCACTCCCCACTTCTCACTCAAAACTAGGGAGTTAGATTTTTTTTTTAAAGGATCAATAAAACTGTTACTGTTTTCAAAGTTGCTGATCAACAGCACAGGAACATTCCCCATGGGCATTGCCCTGAGGTTTTCCAATTGTGTCAGTGGTTAGGAGGATATATAGGGCTAATGTAAAGATGAGGCAGTAGCAGTCCTGCATGAGTATGGAACTCACACTGCCCCATCAGCTTTATCATAAGCATGCAGGTGCAGAACAGGGATATTATTACCCTCCTCAAACTTCGTGTTTGAAAATGGCACTGAAAAAGGTAATTAGATACAAGGTCTTGATGGTGAAGCCAAAAGTTTGTATTTTACCCATAGTGAAATGGTGCTTGAAGATGATAAATCTGATACCACGTTACTGGATGAACCCAATTAATTTTCAAATGGAATGATGAAAATGTAGAACTAGAAAATCAAACAAAATATTATTTCTACCTCTTTTTTAAAAATCAACTAGATTCTTCAAGAAGGAAAAATTAAAAGGGAAGATTTGCTAGTCAGAATCTAAGAGCCATTTCTTCAAAGAAAAAAAAAAAGTCTGCTAGTACACAAACTGAATAGTACCACCAAAATCCATAAAGTTTTAAAAACTTGTTACTGGTGTTTCACTGATTGCATGTGAAGCACTTACTGTATGTCAAGTGCTTTACAAATTTCAATTGATTGAAATATGTAACAATCTTCTAAGGTAAGTATTAATATATCTTGGTTTTACAGAAAAAGAAACCGAGGCAACAGCTTGCCCATAACCCCAGAGCTAATGCCAGAACCATTCAAGTTCAGGCAGTCTGACTTTGAGTTGACACTATTAACCACTATGTTGCTTCTCCATGTTTTATGGTACTTAGTAACCTCTCAGATTGTTGCTGGCCTTTCCCACCTTGAGGAAGGATACTGGAACAGAGCAGGAAGATAAAAACAAGCAAGATGAAAAGGTGAGCTCTTTTTCAGGCTTACACCTTCAAAAGTTCCCTTTATGTAGTTTCTAGATCGTTATCTATGAAATAAGGCTCTCCAGTAAAAAACTGCAGTTCTACTGAGATTCCTACAAAACCCCATCTTCATTCATTATTCTTTTCTTAGGCAATTACTGGTACAAGGCAGTAAAGTGCCAAGCAGAAGTTCCTTGCTGCTCATACAGGAAGATACACCCACAATGTGAGTAGGTAGGCACTGGGGGAAAACATATTCAAACTTTCCAAGAAATTCGAAAAATTAGGCACTTGGGTAAAACCTAGACACACACTCTGGGTCTAAGGCTAAACGTAAACTGTGCCTAAATCTTTATCATTACAGACCCCTAGATCTTCACTATGGCCCACGCTGTTGCGCGTGTTCACAGTGAAGAGTAAATGAGACCACCCAGAAAAAGCCCTAAATAGCACAACCCAAATATTAGAGAAGTGGTTATTATTAGCCTCTGGCTTGAGAAAGTCGCTGGTTTAACGTTCTAGCCTCTCATTAAGACTAGTTTGGGGCAGAGAGGGCGAGGGAAGGGCGGAGACAGTTCAACTCATTTAAACAAATGAAAACAACACAGCGCCCCAGCCCAGCTGGGGGTCGAGAGCGCAGCGCAGAACGCGGCCCGCGGCTCCTCCTGCGGGTGGGGTCTGGCCGGCCCCCCGCTCCTCTCACGCCTCCTGACCTTAGGGTGGGTGCCCATCCAAGCGTCCTCCGGGGCCCAGGACTGGGCGCCGCCGCCGCTGCGAGCGCCGCCCGAGTCCAGACCGCTGCCGCCCGGGGCGGGCTCGGAGTCGCTGCGCTCCGCCATGCCGGCACCGCCGTGGTGCACCGCGCCCCGCGCCCGGCCAGAAGCAGCGCGCGCGCTTCTGGGTTCCGCTTCCCCGCCGCCGCCGCCGCGCCGGGAGGGCGCCAAGCCCGGGAGCGAAGTTAGCTCGTCCCCGCGCGCCTGGCACCTGCGCGGACGCGCGCTCGTTTCTCTCTTCGTTTATCAAATCTAGGCAGATACCAGCGTGAATAAGGCTCGAGGATACCCATAAGCCCCTAACTTTCATTCTATGGGTGCTTTTTACAAGTTTGTTGAGAAAGTGGAGCATTACTTAAAAGCCTCTTTGCCTCCAGCGTGGGGTTCAGGTCTCCGATTCTTGGTAACAGGAAATGCCCTGTCGTGTAAGTTTAAAGCTTGGTTGAGATATGTATAAAAGAAAGTAGAAAGACCAGGCTGCCAAGAACCATACTTTTAGGGTGGTCCCACCTGGGGATTAAGAAGCAAGAGTGAACAGGTGTTGTTGAATGAATCTTTCGAAAGCAGCATGCAAACCAGCAGAAGCATGTGACTTGGACATCCAGGGTGAGGAGACAGGCAAAGTTGGACATTTTGAGCAGTTTTGGATTCACTGTGAGTGAAATAGGGCGACACTGTAAGTACCTGTTACACTATATTAATATCCCTCGGATGTGTTGAGAACACATATTAAGAGTCATGGGTGGAAGAAGGGACTGGTGAGGAGACTGTTGCAACAACCAAAGCAAGAAACGACTCTCAAGATTCAAAGTCCCAGGCAGGAATAGAGCTTCTGCTTCCAAATATGTCAGATTAACACTCTTTTGGACTATACCCCAGCAGGAAATATCTATAAAACCTGGGCATAATACGAATAGTAATGATCTGAATGTACTGGAATATGAACAGTGCAGGCTGACTTGGGTAGAAAGGACAAATTTGCTTGAAGAAAGGCAGATGAGAAAGTACACAAGAAAAATACTCCCCTCCTTTTGGGGGCAGTTAGCTTGAGACTAAGTGGGGTCAAGGAGACAGTAGTAAGTACTTGTGAGAAATCTCTGTTTATCTTATGTTGGGAACTAGAAAGTGAAGTCAGGAAACTTTGAATGCTGAAAAGATGAGAAAATCCTAAAAGGAGACCAGTGCCAACGAGGGTGTCTCCATGTCCACTCATATCTTTGACAAATCCTGAAACAGAATCCAGAAACAGAATCACACCTGTTCAGTTTGAAACTAAAGATCTCAACTTAGATGAGAGCTATAACCCAAGAAACAGACTTTGCACTTCAAATCCAGCCAAGAAAAAATACCTACTAATGCAAAGAATTTGATACTCATTATAGAAAAATAATAGGATCTAGAAACTGTACAACTTATCATTCATAAAATTCAAGATATGACTCAAAGTTATTGACATATGAAAATCAAGAAAATGGATCACATTTTCAAAGTCTGGCCCTGATAAGAATCAGATGCTGAAACTGATACATAGGATTTTGAAGGGTCTTTTCAACTACCCTTAATGAAGTAAAACAAAATATGTTTTCAGAGAACGAAAATTTCAGGGGATAACTAGAAAATCTCAGCTAGGAAAAAGAAAAAAAAAAGTCAATGGAAACTCTGAAACTGAAAATTAAATTTTCAGAAATTTCACTGGGTGCATTTAACAGTCAAATGGAAATTACAGAGGGAAAATTAAGTGAACTTGAAGGTACAGCGATTATCCAAGGTAAATAACAAAGAAAAAATTATTTTTAACATATGAACAGAGTCTCAGAAACTTGCAACCTGTACCAAACAACCAAATATACAGGTAAATGGAATTCCAGGAGGAGAAAAGAAAAAGAATGGGACAGGAAAAAAATTAATAAAGAATTCCCCCATATCTGATGAGAGACAGAAATTGCAGGTATACATGTTAAATGAATACCCGGTAAAATAAACACCAGGAAGTCGAAACTAAAATCAAACTGTCCAAAGCAGATTAAAAGCTTCAATATATCAAGCTTTTTGTGATATAATGTTGCCTGTATTATATACAGTTTGAAATATACCAACTATTCTTGACTTGATGTAGATAAATTCATTACCCTAGGGTATATTGCATCTAAATGAAGTTATTAACATTTGCTTCTGCAAAGCAGCTACTAAGCCCCTAAGAAGCAGTGACACTGAAATTAGTAGTCTTCTAAAGCACTGAACATTGATGCTAATGCAAAAAATTGGCAGTGAGTAAATCCCTCTTCAGGTGAATGATGGTATTTATAGAAGCACTAAGAGCATGTTACTCCTAATATACATAGAAGGGAAATTTTATAAATCAATAGAGTTCCCATGGAATTAAGTGGTATGTGAACTAGGCTAAAACAAGTTTAAGATTTTCAGCTTAAACTTAAGAAAAAAGGGAGTTAATGAATCCCAGCAGGCTGCAGGAAAGAAAAAAAAAAAACATGCAAAAGAAACAGGCTAATGATATCCTTCGACAAATGGATGAATTTCTATTACTCAGAAAAAATGCGATACATTTAAGCATGAATATTAAATACTTTTGACTTTTAATGTCAATATCTATGAAAAAGAGTTGAAGAATGGCTTCAGAATTAAACAATGGACACTTCTAAATAGGTCTCTGTGGCTAGGAATAGCTAAGAAAGAAAACAAAGGATTTGGGAGTATAGATTTAAAAGCTATTGTGGCAATTTAGAATGTAATCCATCAGAGAACAGGTTAAAGTTTCAGCTTCTGATAGCCTGAAAGATTTCTCCTTTTGTGAATGCTTCCATAGTTCACTACACTAGGGACCCAAAGGGGTTATGGGAAAAGCTAGGTAACTGCAAACAAATAAAATTCCCCTGAGTATACTGGATTTAATCAAATTCAATGTAATCTGGCACTTGCTCTGCTGATTTTCATCTTGGTGTCCTGAATCAGACCATTTTATTCCTATCACAAAAAGTCTGTAATGTCTAGGCAGAGTCATTAATTCAGTTAGTCTCAAAAGGAAAAATATACTTTAATCATGATGTGAATTTTTAGTGTTAAAAGGAAGAAGCTTTAATACAATATGGTACAAGAGAATAATCCCAAATTGAAAAAATGCAGGGAAGCATTCTGAATCAGCTTGTAATTCATTGTTTGTAAGGATGTTCATAATAATGTGTTGCTTCTTTTGTACACAAAGCATCAGTGTCCTATTCTCCACGTTTCAAGGGGACTAGGTGAGATGTTTATATTTTCAGTAAACTATTTAGAATGCTGTGATAGAATATTATTTTATGCATAATCATATGAGAACCCCATTATATAGAAAAATATTAAGAATAGTACATAATATGTTCTACCCAGTATCTCATTGGTTAATGCATGCAATCTGAATTCCCCGTTTGTAAATTCAGGATATAATATATATTTTTAAAATACTGTTTACTTTTTTTTTGAAATTTTTAATTAAGTAATTTTTAAAATATTTTTATATTTTATTTTATATAATTCTTACATCATTTTTCTTTTTTTTTTTTTTAAAGATTTGTTTATTTTTATACAAGAACCCAGGTACAGGCCAGATGCGCAGGAGGGTGAGAGAATTCACCAGAGACGGAGCGGGGAACAGAACAGGCAGACTGACGAAGTACACTCCTGAGGGGAGCAACAGTCGCGACAGGAGAGGTCTGCTGCACCATGTGGGACCCTCACCTGCTGGCCAGGATGAAACCGGTGCTGCAGGGGCTGCGGGGGCGCTCAACCACCTGCGCCACCAGGGGAGGCACAATCATTTTTCATTTTTGCATAATGTATGCATTTTCATTTTGGTTATATTTCCCATAGGGTCAAAATGGGGGGGGGGATACTGTTTACTTGTAGAGCAAAATAATCATAATAAGATATATAGGTGTATATATATTAGTACATAAGAAGTATTTATTTTTATATTATATATATTGCTGCAGACAAGATAGCCAATGAAGTTCTTTGCAATTAACAAAGACTGGGAGTCTAAATGAATTTGCAATGGGGCGAGGCTGGGGAGAGTGCCATCGAGAGCAGCTCTGCCTTTCACTCTCCCAGGCCAAACTTTTATTGAATATATGAACAAAGGAACAAGAAAATAGCACGCAATTGTGTTTTTGCTTATACAGATTGATAAGTTACTGCTGAAAACAAGTTTTCCTGGTTAGTGGGGAACATGAGCAGAAGCCAATACATCCACAGAGAACAAGAGTCACTTTTGGGAAGAAGTTCTGTTTGCAGAACTTCTAACATCCTGGAACTCCGTATGCAGAGTAAACAGGTGTTCTCCAAAAACTCCAGCTCTCTTTAGGGCAGCAGGCTCCCAACAATATATGGGGAGAGAGAAAGAGAAATTGTAAAGAATTGCAGGGTCTTGCAAATCCAAAATTTACAGGCAGACTGGCAGACATAGAGGCCCAGGAAGAGTTGCTGTTTCAGTCTTGAGCCTGGAGACAAAATTCTTCCCTTCTCTAGGAATCTTTCTTTTTCCTTAAGGCCTTCAACTGATTGGAAGGGGCCCACCCACATTATGAAAATTAATGTCTTACTTACTCTACCAATTTAAATATTAATCACATCTAAACATTACCCCCCCACCCCGCCTCTCCCTTGGCACAGTAGGCTGGGCGCAGCAGGTTGAACGCAGCACTGTGAAGCTGTCTGCAGCCTTTGCAGCGCCGGTTTGATTCCCAGCCAGCCAGGGAGATTCCCACATGGTGCGGCAGACTTCTCCTGTTGTTGTGCCTGCTGCTCCTCTCAGCAGTGCATTTCGGTCGCCTGCCTGTTCTGCTCCTCGCTCTATCTCTGGTGAATCCTCTCACCCTCCCCCACCTCTGGCCTATACCCCAGCTCTTGTATAAAAATAAATAAATCTGGGCCTCCCTGGTGACGCAAGGGGTTAAGCACTGCACTATGAAGCAATCCACAGCCTCTGCCACATGAGTTCAATCCTGGCCGGCCAGGGAGAAAGCCTCATGGCTTGTACCCCAGCTCTTGTATGCATAAATAGATAAATCTTAAAAAAGATAAACAACACCCCATAGCAATATCTAGACTGGTTTGATCAAATAGCTGGGCAGCATAGCCTAGCCAAGTTGACACAAAATTTACCATCACAGGAGGAAAATTTCTAAATAAAATTTAGAAGCTAATTAATGCAAAATTCAGCCCAGTGTTTCTCTCTCTAGGGAGTAGAGTATTGTGATGGGAATGAACACACAAAGGACTTCGAAGTTAATGGTCATGTTATTTATTTTTTTGTAAGGCTGGTGTTTAGTGTATGGACATTCATTTTATTAGTAGAATTTAAATAATATATAATATATATACCATTTTTATTATTTAATATTATTTTCTCTGAAATTTAGCTAAGAGTACAAAGAGATAATAAGTTGGCTATTTCTATAAATAAGTAGCTGCACATCTGCAGTCTGAAGTAATACTTGGCTTTGAAAAGGCCTCGGAACCCATTCATCGTCCAAAAAATATCCCTCCTCTGTCTCCAGATATTTGTTCAACATCTGCCGTGAGAGTCTGTGTTGAATCTCATTGAGGAGGAATAAGTACAAACCCACATTGAAAATATTCAAGTTGAAATTATCTCAAAATGTGAACAATGGTTGTGGTAGGGAAATGCCTTAGGGGTGGATATTCTTACTTTTCTTCGGCATTTTCAACATATTTTTTTATCCTATAGTAAAATAGACATCAATCAGTCATTGGATTTTAAAGCCTGTGGCATAGAAGGACTAATCCAACCCTACACATTCATGTTAAAATGTCTGTGACAGTGTGCTTGGTTGTTTTAAATGCCTTCCCTCTTTCAACCCCTCTCTCCCTCCCTTCTTCCTTCACTAAAACCTCCAACTCTATATTGAATAGAAATCCTGAGATAGGACATTCTTTTCTTATTACTGATATTAGGGGGAAAGCTTTCATTAGCTATAGGATTTTTGTTGATGCCCTTTATCAGGTTAAGTTCCTTTCATTCTTACATCGTTGAAAACATGTATTGGGTTTTGTGCAATTATTTTTCTGCATCTTTTGAAATGATCATATGGTTTTCCTCTTCTCGTACTGATGCATTTTATTTACTTTTATTGAAGCATATTGTTGTGTTTTCATTTTCATGCAGTTCAAAGTACTTTCTTATTTCCCTTTGATTTATTTCTTGAGACCCATAAGTTACTTACATATATGTTATTTAGTACCCAAATAATAGGGGAATTTTTTTTCAGAGATCTTTCTGTTACTAATCTCTAATGCAATGCCGTTGTTATCAGAGACCATAATTAAATCCTTTTATTTTTACTTTTTCCAGCTTTATTAACATATAATTGACATACAACATTGTATAAATTGAAGGTGTACAATACGGTTTCATCCAAGTTGTTGCTAATGAAGGATTTCCTTCTTTTTTGTGACTGAATCATTGATCCACTCATCCACCAAGAAATGCTTAGGTTGTTTTCATGCTTTGGTTACTAACATGGCAATAAACATGGGGTGCAATTGTATGTCTTCAAGACAGTGGTTCATTCTCTTTGGATCTATAGCCAGAACGGGAATTGCAGGATCATACAGTGGTTCTATTTTTAATTTTTAAGAAACCACCATACTGGCTTCCATACTGACCATATCATTTTACAAAAGTGTACAGGGGTTCCCTTTTCTCTGCATTCCCGTAAGCCTCTGTTATTTCTCCTGATTTTTTGATAATAGTCATTCTAGAAGGTCATGTGGTTTTTATTTGCATTACTCTGATGATTAGTGATGTTGAACAACTTTTCATGTACGTTGGTTTGGTACATCTTCTCCCAGGAAATGTTTTTTTTTTTTTTTTTTTTTTGGTACTGAGTCTCATGAATTCCTTAAATATTTTACAGAGAATCTCGTATCACAAATGGGAAAAAGGAAGACAATAACATGGCGATCATATTATGGAACCTCTCCAATCGTCCCTGTCAGCACATCCCTAAAAAGTGATTGTGCCTCCACTGTTGCTGGTATATATTTCTGTCATAGTACCTCTGACAGATGCTTAACCTTTAGCTTCCTCTAGAAGACTATGATCCCCTTGAAAGCAAGGACAGTTCCTAAAGGAGGATGGAGGAGAACGAAATGTCTATAAGTCATTGCATAAAAAGTATGCATGTTTGAGAAAAGTTGGGACAAGAGACATAGAGTCCAAGGATGCAATCACCTCGCAAGACCATATGGAGCTAGAAGAGTAGCACAGGGTGAAAGAGCTCACACACAAGTAGACTCAGAGGAGATCAAGGAAATGATATGGTGTAAGAAAGTCCAAAGAGGTAAGAACTGAAGAGAGTTCACTGAATCGTCCAACACTGAGGTCATCTGTGGTTTTGCCAGAACATCCTCAGTAAGGAAGGTACAAGCATATTGCACTAGTAGGAGAGATGGGAGGTGAAGAAGTCATGAAGGCAAGTGTTGACCTTATTTCAAGGAGCTTGGCCATGACAGTGAATTGGTAGAAGGAAACATGGGATTTAAGAAGAAAAAAAAATTGTTTAGGGGAAGACATGAAGTTTTAGCTTGAGAGAATGGAGTTGATAGAAAAGGACCAATTGAAGACTTGCTTTAAAGTGAAGATTTCTGTCATGGTACCTCTGACAAATGCTTAACCTTTAGTTTCCCCTATAAGACTATGACCCCCTTGAAAGCAAGGACAGTTTTCCTAAAGGAGGATGGAGGAGAAGGAAATGTCTGTAAGTCATGGACTACAAAGGATAGGGTAGACTTGAAGGTTTGGTCATGAATAAGCACCTGCAAGAATGGAGGGCATTGGTGGGGATATTAGAGAGGGGGTGTTTAGGGAGTTCAATATAGGAGGTTCTATTATTCCGAGAAAGTGAGGGAGTGAAGGAAAGTGGCTTCTAATAGTTGCAGAGAAGGATGAATTTCACCAGTAAAAAGACTGTGGGAGAGTACTGAAGACAAGTAGGGTTTAGAGTGGTACCAAATCATCCTGCATACACACAGAACATAAGCTACAGAAGTCCACAAAGCAGGAACTCTGGTTTCTTACTTATATTCAAGGGTAATAATCCTTTCGTAGGATCTCCTAGCAATTTCACTTTAGGGACTAATTGTGTTCTTCATTTACCTCTTGTTTTCTTTTTCCATATGTCTCTTCTCCAACATCCTGGATTCTCTCTTTTGTTTTTTGGTAGTAAAATATACATAACTAATTTACCATTTTTTTAAATCACCATCACTTATATTTCTTTGTTCTTTTTCCTTCCCCTTCTCTCTTAACCTCAGAGTCCTCAAGATGTTTATTCATGCCCAGTAGGTTTTGAAAGTGTTTTATGTTATCAAATTGTCTGCTATTTAAATATCCAATATTTTTGTTTTTTCCTTTTGACTTGTTTTACTATACATACTTCTCTCAAACTCCATCCATTTTGTTGTAAATTGTTGCATTTCATCCTTTCTTATGGCTGCATAGTACTCCTTAGTATGGACATACACCTTCTTGAACTAATCACCCCTCCATGGCCATTTAGGCTGCTTCCATGCCCTAACTATTGTAAATAATGCTATTAGGAACATCGTGGAACATAAGGATATTTGTGTTGATTTCATATCCTTCGGCTATATGATAAAAGTAGAATTTTGCGGTATTTCCACTGATTTCTGTGGTATTTCCACTTTTAGGTATGGAATCTCCATTTCTTTTTTCACTCTGCTAGTTTGGGTCATTAAAGAAAAAGAAGGGCATCTAAGCGAACCTCCTCTTTACAGGCTATTCTGCAGGGAAGCTGAGCTCCGGAAGTTAGCAATGAGAGTGGGACTTGGGCCATTCCTTTCATTTGAAGGGTTCGATCTGGCTCTAAAATGATCCTTCTTGAAACTTGATGTTATGGGGGATGTACTCTGTCAAGAAAAAATTTAAGTGAAATTGAGTGTATAAGGAAATGCCACCATTCTGTCTTTGTGGAAGTTAAAAAATTGTTTATCGTAGTAATGAATAGTTGGGTGACTTTCCATTTTAGAGCTCTACCATTTAGTCAATAGGGGCATTATGAATAACTGGATACATTGCATCACTGTGAAGGACTTTAGACTGCGGTTTGCAAAAGCAGAATAAATTTTCTTGAAGTTGTACCGTTATGTACACACACATACACTCACACTCACACACACACACACACACACTAACATACGAACACACACGCGCGCGCGCACACACACACTCACACGCCCATTGGCAGACACTGCCACACCTCACAGCTCTGGGGGAAGCCACAGACCTCAGCTGTACTCGCTGCGCCTGGACTAGAGGAACTTTCCGCAGGACTCAGGACAAACAGCTCTACAGACAGACGTGTCTGCGAGCCCCAGCCTCAGAGGCTGCGGCTGCAGGTACCCGGTGCGCACCCGCGTCGGGACGGGCGGCGGCGCCGGCGGGAGGGTGTGCACGGCACAGGTCGGTGCGGGGTGAGCTCACCGCATCCCCGGCGCCGCTCGCTCCCCGGTCCCCGCCGGCCTGGGGCGCCCTCCGGCAGCCCGGCGCGGCGCTCGCGGCTGGACCTCCGCCGCCCGCCACGGCCCTGAACATGGCCGCGCGCCCCGCCGCCATCCTCGCCTGGTGGCTGCTGCTCCTGTCGTCCGCGCTGCTCCGCCGCGGCTGCCCCGCACGCTTTGCCGCCGAGCCAGACTCGGAGGACGACGAAGAGGAGGCGGTGGTTTTCCCCGAGTCGCCCCTGCAGAGACCCACGGTGCTCGTGGCCCTGCTGGCCCGCAACGCGGCGCACACGCTGCCGCACTTCCTCGGCTGCCTGGAGCGGCTGGACTACCCCAAGAGCAGGATGGCCATCTGGTGAGCCGGCGCGGGCGGGAGGGGAGGCTGGAGCGCCCCCAGCGCGGATGCTGGACCCGGGTGCACCCCGCCCGCACCCCAAACGGCCGCCGCGGAGCCGGGGACCGCTGGAGTTGGGGGGCGGGGGGAGATGCGGGAAACGCGCTGCGCACACCCCCTCGCTGCGTACGCTCGTCCTCGTCGGGCGGTGGGGTTGGGGTTCTGTGTGCTCCTGGGAACCGAGGGGTGCTAATGGGCACAAACAGCCCGCCTGAGCTCCTGTGGGGGTGTGGATGGGTCTCCTCGCCCTAGGCCCCTATTAGATTTGGGGAAATCCCGCAAGAGTGCTAGCTTCTCCCCCTTTCAAGAGACTGAGCTGCGGATGGCAAGGGGCGCTCGGGCTTTTGGGTGCCTGGCTTCTGCTCTTGCCTCCGAGGCTGAAAAGGTGACTCCTGGTTGTCTCCCCAGGGCAAGAAAGGGTCTGGGGGAGAGGGGTTTTCCTAGGGCTGAACTAAGTGGGGCCCACCGTGGTGTCTGCCCAGCCACGCCTCCACTGTGGATCCTGGCTTAGCTCTGAGTGCCCCAGGTTATCCCCGCTGAGGCATCCTCCTGGGGCGCATTCCCTTGCCAGAGAAGCAAACCTCGTGGTGCCCTGGGTACTGTGTCCTGGGGACCAAGCCCCCTGCGGGAAGGGGACAGTCATGTTTTGTTGGCACTGGGGTGGAGCCCTGGGCCTGGGTCCTCTATTCGCTCAGGGAGGGCTAGGGCATCAGTGGGTGAGGCTGACTGCCTCTGCTGTAAAACTCCATGCAGTCCTGCAACTTTTATAAACCTAGGTATCAGGGAGCAAGGGGTTGGTGGCCAGGTAAACCGCTGAGGGAACTGTGGAGGACAAGGAGGCCGCTGGCCAGGGGAGGTAGATAGCCAGGTATGTGGGCAGGAGGACTCTGGCCCCCTGACAGGATAGAGCCCAGGTCTCAGAGCAATTTCTTGTGATAAAGGGAGCTGTCCTCAGACAGGACGTTCTTAAAGCAGGGCGTAGGCAGAAAGAAGTAAGGAGAGAGCAGTAGCTGGACTTGGCAGCTAAAGGGTACCTGGTGGAAGAGGTGCAGAGGTGAGAAAGCAAACATGAGCCTGAGCGCAGCTCTGCCTGCACACTGCTTTACTATATACCCTGCCATACGTGACTGTGGCCACGGAGAAATGCCTGTGAGGAGGAAAGTGGGAACGCTCGTGTCCAGGTTTAAACCAGAGAAGAATTTTTTTTTAACCATTTCCATACCAAAAAAAAAAAAAATTGAGTGTCAGTTCTTGATTGCTTTTTGTCAAGAGAGACATTTTAAAATGGTCTTGGGTTTTATGCATTGGCTCATTTTAAAGAAGATTGCAGTAGTTACTATAGGAATTTGGTGAGGGTTGTGAAGCAGGCACAGGTTTTGCTACCTAATGACGGCCATTACTTCTTTTCTCCTAGGTAAGAGATACTGTGATCCTTATTGTACAAATGAAGAAATTGAGGCTTGGATCAGTTTCATAACTCAAAATCATAGAACTAATAAATAGTAAGACTGGGATGTGAAACCAAGGTTGTCCCTAAGGGCCACCCTAAAAAGGCAGCAGTGGGAATATGATAGAAACAAAACTCAGATAAACCTATAAGCTACAAGTTAGAAGACTTGTGTTGTTTGTCATGTGCTTGAGTTGTTTGAGATCCATAGACATGTTTCTATAGCAGTAAAATGAGGAAATTAGGATAAATAGTTTTAAAAATTCTTCTTGGCTCTTGAATTCCATGCAGCTGTGATATGATCAGATACAACCAGTAGTGATCGTTCATCCTAACTCCCCTGGATGGTGCAGTTTCTATGGTCATTGGTGTTCTTTGCAGATGGGTGATATTCTAATTCTGCTTAGACTTTTGGCATCTATTTTCCCTTGCTCTCCTTCATGGCCATGTCACTGTACTTTGTCCGTATGACCAGTGTTGCACAGTTAAAGAAGAAATCCAAGGCTTGGGTAAGGTCTTGGGCACCACCTCCTTTAGCCACTAATTTTTCTTCTATGAGTTCTGGCTAAGAAACCTTAGGTAATAAAGCATGCACTGGGTAATAATGATAATCCAAGTGCCAGATTTTAAATAGTCTTTTACAGCTTTCCAAGTAGTTTCATCAATGGGGTTATCTCATATGATCCTTACTACTATTCTGTAAAGAAAGGAAATTATCTTCATTTCATAGAAGACATTCTATCTAAAGTAATTGACTTAAGATTAGACTTATTTATTAATTTAGCAAATACTTATTAGCGAGAGCTCACAGTTCCTGTAAGCACTTCCCATTCATTTTCTGGTTTACTGTTCATACTCACCCTGTCATGTGTGCACTGGCATTCTACAGATGAGAAAACTGAGGCACCCAGAGATTGTCCAGGCACAGACTTCTAGTCACCTTCTTTTGTAAAAATGGGGCAGTGCCGTGTGTGGGCTGAACAAAGTTGAACAAGATATAGCTCCTCACAGACAAATATGACTCTTGCTGGGCTGGAATGGTTATCTGGATGGCATTTCTGGATGGATTTGGGGGAGTGACTTCTAAACCAGGTTGGGACAGCTGTGTGTCATGAAGGGTTCTTGAGTTGACACATAGTTGAACTCAGTTTTGAAGGACAAATAGGAATCCACTAAAACCTGGGAGAGAAAGAGAATTCCAGAAAGAGGGAACAAAGCAAGCCACTGGGACATGAGCCAAAGTTTGTCAGAGGAGATGGAGTGGATGATGAGATATGACTCTCCAGGAGGAGGCTGTACCTCAGTTGATGCTATGGCTTTGAGGGACTTCTGCCCAGCTTCCCTCTAGTTGTTTGGTGCCAAATTTTACTCAGCATTCTGATGTGCCAAGCTGACTGGTATCCACTCTGTAAAGTGATCGATGACCTAATGGCCGAGCTACCCAGACTTTATAAAACAAAACTGTGCTGAGTACCTCGTCTGGGGTGTCAACTTCCAGTGAATCCTATATCAGTAACTGGGCAGACATGCTCTTCTCTTTACCTGCTTACCTTCATAAGGGTCGGAGGGGCACATAATCAGACAGCTTTTCTGTGTGGGTGATTGAGAGGCCTACTTGGTGATCATGTTCAGACTTCCTGTGGTGTGATTTGTTTTTCTCACTAGATCTGGACCAGAGTTGCACTGCACACTTAAGTGAAATGAGTACCAACAAGTGGACCCGGATACTTTTGCTGTTCAAGAATGTGTGCAGTTATCTCTGTATGGAGCTTCTTTGAATTAAGTTGAAATAAGGAAAGTGTATGTTGTAGAGTTATTTTGACTCTATATCAGCTCAAAGGAAAACTCAGCAGGTTTACCTACCTGACCTCAAAACTGCTCCTAATGAATTGTTCCCAGTTAAATACCACAACTCTGTGATAAGACACTAAGGAAGATATCCCTTGGCTTCTGGTAGAAGCCTGCATAGAATTAATGGGATTGCTTTTGTGCTGAGATAAAGGGGACTGTGAGGCACCATGACAATGTGGCATTGCACTTCAGTGGCTCCTCTGTAATTCATTGAGGCTATGAACAATGGCTGACCTCATCCCCTTTCCCAAACCCTTGATTAAGGGGAGCAGTGTCAAGTACCTTAAGAATGAAAAATGGATGAAGGCCCAGGGAAAAGCATTTGACCCAACAGACATCTTAAGTTTGACTTCTTGAGGAGCTTGCTGTTGCCTGCAGGGGCATAGTCAGGAGTCACAGGATCTGTGTAGTTCCAAGGCCCGGTAATTACAGAATGATGTTGACATTACACTTGCAAGATTTTGGAAAGTAAGATACTACATGGGGAACCACTATGACCTTTCAAATAAAGACACGAGTTTCTGTTGACAGTAACGTAAATAATAACAAGCTTCTGTTTGTTCTGAGTGGTGCTGATCTTGACATTTAGCTCTATCTGTGGAGTGTTTGGAGTTTGTTTGGATTTATCTCCACATTTTAATGCTCAGCCAGTAACAGCTTGTTGAATATACACTAAATAATTATGTTTATGAGATGTTCCAAACTACTTTTAATAATAGCTGTCAGCACCAGCAGTGAGAATGAATGTCATGTTTTATCACTGTAGTTTTGACATTAAATGTGTATATTATCCTGATGGGTAGAAGTTTGAGCTCATGGTTGAGAAAGTCGATGATACTTTGGTCCTCTTTGTTTCATCAATCTGTTCTCCTTCCCTTCCCCACCCTACCCCAACTTCTTTACCTTATTTTTCCCAGTCTGCTAGTTCAGCACTGAGGGAAAAGTATGCAAGCTTAGAGTCAGGGGGCTCAAAAAATCCTGTGTGAACATGGCACATGAGTGAACTCCTAAGTGTAGCTTCCCCATCTAGAAATGACTAATAATGGTACCTACCTCCAAAGAGGTATTATAACAAGCAAATGTGACCACTGCAGAGGTCCCTTATATAAATATTACTAAACAGATAATAGTTGCTCTTTCCTATTTATCTTTTCTTTTTGTCCCATCTCCTTTACCTTTCTCTTTCCAAATGAAGATTTAGAAAAGGACATGTTCAAAAGAGACTATTTTCTTCCTTCCCACAGGAAATTCTTAACTTGAGGAAAAGTAGCATTTATGAAGGGAATGTTCAAATGCATGTGTATGCTAACTGATTTACTCCTGCTAAACCCTAAGTGAGAGGTGTGATTACTCTGATCACTTTAGACAGGTGAAACTGAGGCACAAACAACTAAAATAAATGGCCTGAGGTCACAAGGCTAGTGATGGTGGAGATGGGATGTGACTGAGGCTGCAAACACTGCAGATGGAGTACAGATGGTCTGTGTAAGATCAAGAGAGGACCAATTAGTTCTAGCTGTTGCTTCTGTCATGTCACACAACTTAGGAAATAAGAACACCAGTGTGCTTTCAAGCAAGACTCATCCCTTCTGCTTGAATGACACAAGAGGTTCAGTGGTCCCTTGTGCCATCTTGATATTGTCACTTAACTCTAACTCAGGTG